GCCGCATCACATTGTTGGCTCATGTTTAACTTGTCCACAAGGACTCCAAGATCTTTTTCACACGACTGCTCTCTGTTTAAAGACCTCCTACACATTCTCATGTCCGCCACTTTTTAAGGCCATCCATGCCATGGTTAAACAGCTCTTACAGTCAAGAAGATCTGCCTAACATTTAGGTAAAATATTTTTTTCTATTTTGAAACCATCATTTTGTCTCTCAATCTCGAGAGCAACAGAAAACAGCAGAAGCATGCTGGGCCCATAACCCTTATCAAGGCCAACTTGCTTCATATCATCCAATTAACTGACTTCAGACAGTTGTTTCTGCTTCAATAAGCGGCTCTTATCCTTATTTACATTTCATTCATTGCAATAACACTTACTACTCATTAGCATGGTCGCGATGCAAGAGAGAAGAAGCAGAACAATGGTGTCTGCTATATTTATACCCCACTGTTATCAGCTCATTAATCCAGCCTCCTAGTCTATGGCAACATCTTCCTTGTTTACGTATGCTTCATAATGTTCCAAAAATTAATTATTTCCCAGCTAGCAGCATGGATATTTTAAACTTGTACAATATATATATTGACATGACACTGATAATGATATCTCTTCAAACATTTCAACATGGCTATCATGTCTCCTCTCCATCTTCTTCATTCCAAGTTTAATATACCCAGGTCCAAAGCCATTCCTCAGAGAGCTTGGTTTCCAAAGCATTTTACTTGCCCTTCTCTGGACACCTTCCAACTTGAATTCTTGCACAGTATTCCAGGTCAGGTTTCACCAGTGCAATTTGGCACTCCTTTAATTGCTATCAAATCCTGAGAGGTGTAGTGTGACCAGTTCTTTATCATTCTCTCCTACTGCCTAGTCAAACTACAACTCCCATGATTCCATAGCATTGAGCAATGGCAGTAAAGGGGATGTCAGGCTGCATTCATTCTACAGTGTCGAGGCACCATTTGTCTCAGAAGCGCTACAAGATCTCTTTGAATGCCAGCCAGTTAGCTCTCTTTTGATAACCATTGAATGACACACGAAACACCATTCTTCCTTATACCTATAGGTTCGCCATCCAGCTATCTCAAGTCACAGCACACCATTGCACCTACGCAGGCACCTTTAACATGTCTGGATGTCTCTCTCTTCCTTTCCTGTTGTCTTTGGCTTACTTCCATTGCTGCAATCTCAGTTCAAACTACAAACGTAATTTCCATGGTAAGGGATGAAATTTTGCAATTCCCAGTAGACGCAGACAAAAGCAATCTGCTGTACTCTCTCTTAGCTTGCATACCTCTTTTCATTCATAACCTTTGCCATCTTAACCACACAATGAGGATGTTTGGCTACACAAGTCCCAGCTAATTCTGGAAATTGTTGGATGGTATGGAATGTGGTGGAAGCTCCTTCTTTGGAGGCTTTTAAACAGAGGCTGGATGGTCATCTGTCAAGGGTTCTTTGAATGCAATTTTTCTGCTTCTTGGCAGAATGGAGTTGGACTGGATGGCCCATGAGGTCTCTTCCAACTCTAGGAGTCTATGATTCTATGGTTTGATGCCATTGTGGTTAGGCCTTCAAGTCACCTTAGCCTGGGGACCCCTGCCCTATAGCAACAGGTATTTATTGGAAGCCTCCCATTCAAGTCCAGAGATGTGCAGGACTTGCATGTTTCATGATGGAGTTCTGCAATGAGGCAATCCAATAGAACTCGTGCATTGCAAAAACACCGAAGAGATGATGATGATGATGATGATGATGATTATTATTATTATTATTTGTACCTCACTTTTATCTCAAGGACGGAGAGCAGTTCACAATATTAAAAGCTAGAAAAAGAAAAAGCTCTTGGAGTCCTCATGGACAACAAGTTAAACATGAGCCAATAATGTGATGCAGCAGCAAAAAAACCAATGGGATTTTGGCCTGCATCAATAGGAGTGTAGTGTCTAGGTCCAGGGAAGTCATGCTACCCATACTCTAGTCTGCCTTGGTTAGACCACACCTTGAATATTGTGTCCAATTCTGGGCATCACAATTCAAGAGAGATATTGACAAGCTGGAATGTGTCCAGAGGAGGGTGACTAAAATGATCAAGGGTCTGGAGAACAAGCCCTATGAGGAGTGGCTTAAGGAGCTGGGCATGTTTAGCCTGAAGAAGAGAAGGCTGAGAGGAGATATGATAGCCATGTATAAATATGTGAGAGGAAGCCACAGGGAGGAGGAGGGAGCAAGCTTGTTTTCGGCTTCCCTGGAGACTAGGACACGGAACAATGGCTTCAAACTACAAGAGAGGAGATTCCATCTGAACATGAGGAAGAATTTCCTGACTGTGAGAGCCATTCAGCAGTGGAACTCTCTGCCCCGGAGTGTGCTGGAGGCTCCTTCTTTGGAAGCTTTTAAGCAGAGGCTGGATGGTCATCTGTTCGGGGTGTTTTGAATGCGATTTTCCTGCTTCTTTGCAGAATGGGGTTGGACTGGGTTATGGGCCATGAGGTCTCTTCCAACTCTAGGATTCTATTATTCTATTTTATGATTGTATACAGTTTAAAAACATTAAAATCTACAGTGTTTGGATTGCTATAGATAGGAAGATCTACCATGTTTCTTCTATCCTATGACACCATTAAGTCACATACTACTTTCAGTACAGAGAAAAAGTTGTCTGTCTCTCTCTCGCTATCTATCAATCTATCTCTATCATTTCTCTATTATTTGTATGCAAGTGCAATTCTAAGGTGCACCTTGTTTTTAGAGATGTTTCTCCTGGGGAAAAATGCAAACATTGGTTGAAGTAAACATTAAGTTGACCTGATTTCTTGTTATTGCTCCTCTCTGCCTCAAGATGGCGGTCTTTAGCCAGTTAAAACCACAAATGGGTCAAATGATGTTTTTAAGGGCTGATGATTGTTATTGTTTACTCCAAATATTTGGGAACAGAAGTATTTTTGATTTCTGTTTTTTTAAAGTATTTGGAATATATGTATTTGCATAGAGGTACTTAATGTACATAATCTTAGTGATGGGACCAAATATGAAATTGATTGGGTTGTTCTGAGTTTTCTGGGCTTTATGGCCATGTTCTAGAAGCATTCTCTCCTGACATTTCACCCACATCTATGGCAGGCATCCTCAGAGGTTGTTTGGTCTGTTGGAAACTAAGCAAGTGACATTTATATATCTGTGAATAATGTCCAGGGTTCTTTCTCCCACCCTTGACATCATTCCACAGATGTATAAACCCCACTTGCCTAGTTTGTTTGTTTGTTTGTTTGTTTATTTATTTATTTGAAATATTTATATTCCGCCCTTCCCACCCTGCAGGGGACTCAGGGAAGAGCACAACATATATTCGGCAAACATCAAATGCCAAGACATAAAACTATAAATATACACAAACCCTTACATCCACTTTAAAATCAGTTTCTTAAAAACCATCTCAGGACACCATTCTATTATTGCCTCTTTGCCCTGCCCCAAAGGCTTGGCCCCACAGCCAGGTCTTCACCATCCTTTTGAAGAACTAATATATCTAGGAAGGGAGTTCCATAGCTAGGGTGCAATCACTGAGAAGGCCCTGTCTCTTGTCCCTGCCAAATGCGCTTGTGACTGAGAGCAGGATCTCCCCAGAAGATCTAAGTCTTCATGGTGGTTCATAAAGGGAGATGCGTTCAGACATGGACATGTAAACTGGGCCAGGGCCGTTTAGGGCTTCATAAGCCAAAGCCAAGCTCTTTGAATTGTGCCCGGTAGCAAAGGCAGCCAATGAAACTGGAGAAACATGGGAGTTGTGTACTCCCTGTATGCTGCCCCAGTTATTAACCTGGTTGCTTCTCATTGGAGTATTTCAAGCTTCTGAACAGTCTTTGAAGGCAACCCCAACTAGAGCGTGTTGCAGTAGTCTATCCTAGATGTAATGAGAGCGTGGACCACCATGGCCAAATCTGACTTCCCAAGGTTCGGGCACAGATCTCACAACCTCTGAGGATGCCTGTCATAGATGTGGGTGAAACATCAGGAGAGACTGCTTCTGGAACATGGCCAGACAGTCCAGAAAACTCACAGCAACCCAGTGATTCCAGCCATGAAGT